CCGTCCACGTCTTTTAGGCCATAGCGTCGAGCAAGGTCACATGACGGCAGCACCTTCCCACTCAGGTTCAGGATGTTGGGGTCTGCGACACACACACAGTTGGAGACAGTGGGTGTGGGAATGGTGCAGAGTGACAAGGTTTGGGCCTAGTGGGCCAGGACCCTGAGACAGGCTAGGAAAATTGCTTTTCTCTGATCTCTTCACAACTCCCAGAAGCCGGCGCACAAGCCTCAAACGGGGAGTGTGGACTCTGAGCCTCCAAAAGCCAGAGAGAACTTGAGGTGTTTCTCAACCACCTCCCGAACCAAAAGTGGCTGCCACTACGCTGCAGGTCCCGCTGCCCTTTCCTGTTATTAGGTGGCCCCAATGTCTTCACCTGTTGCCAACGCCACCACACATTTGCCACTCATTTCTGTGGTTTCTGCTCCTGGGAAAAATTTTTTCACCTGAAAAACAGGGTGAGAAATAAAAAGTTAATACTAAGAGCACTGCCTCAATCTTCCTCCTCTTCAGCTTCTGTCCCAGGAGAAAGAGGCCGAAGACCTCAGGCAGACCCTGCAGGGCCCAGTGTCTTAGAAGGCACCACACCCGCTCCTCCCCACAGTCAGCTGAGTCCTGTACCACACCCCAGAACCTGCTGCCTTTCCTAAGTGGAGATCTGATCGTGCCAAAGTGTCTGGGCCTTCTGGGCCAGTTCCGGGCCAGGGTGAAGTACATGGGCCCCAGAGGTAGACAGCCTTTCCATGGACGACATATGTGACCTGGAACAAGTCTGTGTGTTCATGCCTGTCCTCCTTCCCTTTTTTCTTCAGTGCTGGGGACTGCACATGCTAAATACATGCTCCACTACTGGGCTCTGTCCTCAGCCCTGGAACAAGTTTCTTACTCTCTCCGGATTTCAGTCTCAGCCTCTATAAAATGGAGATAGTATCTCCCTTACAAGATGAAAATTATGTGTGTACAGGGCTTAGCTCTGTGCGTGCTGCTCTAGTAAGCACCTGAGAAGTGGGAATATTTAATCTTGATATTGAGGGTGGGGAGGCTAATTCCTCTGCACACTCTACTTCCCTTGCCTCCCCTTGCTAACCTCATTGAGCAGAGGATCCTCAGATTGTCCCTTCTCTGCCATATAATTCTGCAGCAGTTCTGTCTGCACCAACCCTGGCCACAGAGATACATAGCTCACTCCGTGGCGCCGCAGCTCGTGCGCACAGTCAGCAGCCAGTCTGTCGCACTGCGGGGGGACAGAAGGCAGAGTGAGAGCCAGGGAGCCTGGCCATGTCATCTTCCTCCCCTCCCCTCCCTGCTACCAGTGGGGCTGCCTCAGGCTCCTGCCTTTCCCAGGATCCCTGAGGTCTCTGCTGCCGCCCTCCCCAGGTGATACCTACTCTGGCAGAACAAGGGGAGCCCAAGGAAGGAACTGTCCATGGATGGGGCAGAGGGAGAGATGTGGGCCAGCCAGCCTTACCACTCCGTGCCCTGGGGTCTGTACCTCCCGAGCTGTATGTACCACTAGTGTCTTATACCTAACCCCTATGTGACTGGGTCCTTACCGCAGCTTTGCCCACACCATAGGGGACGTTGAACATGTACTGAAGACCCCCGGGAGAGGAGATGACCACGATAAGCCCCCGGCCAGCTGGTACCATCAGCCGGGCCCCATACACTGAGCACAGGTAGTGGCCTCTAGAAGAATGAAACCTATTAATACTGGCCTGGCGCTGCAGCCCCTGGGTGCCTCCTGCGCCCTTTAGTGGCTGCAATCAGCGGGGAAAGGCTGTAGAGAGGCAGTGGGGGACCGCAGTGCAAGAGAAATGGTAAAATTAACTACTGACAGCTGAGAAGCCACAATCTTTGGACGGGAAGAAGAAAAGAGCTCTGTAGCAATAACAATGACAAACAAAATGGTTCAGGGGGGAAGAAACTTAAGAAATGTTTAGGGTCTGCGTGGAAAAACTCAAGCTGTAAAACATGAGCAGCTAAAATTGTCTGAAGTTAATAGCGTGCAAAAATCAGTTCTATAAAAATCAACCCATACATTTGGTCAGTTTGAGTTATATCTCAGTAAGACTTTTTGAAGAAATTGACAAAATAATCTAAAGAACAAGGAAAAGAACAGACATGTGAGGGCAGCCAGGCCAATCCTGACTTGTGGCCAAAAGGGATTTTATCCACCATCACTCATCTCAAAATGCACAACGACATGATGGTTAAAAGGATGCAGCACTGGTTTGTAACAGCAGACAGATAAGTCAGTGAAACAAAATAGCCAATAATTAGGCCCAAGTGTAAGTCAGCATGCAACACAGTATAAAGGAAACACTTCAAATCAATGGAGTAAGTCCATTTAGTAAATGGACTTGGGACACTTGACCCCAGTTATTCAGGTTGGGGAGAATGGACCCACTGCCTCATTTATTATTCAAAATGAATTCCAAAAGCACACAATATTTCAATGTAAAATAGGAAAACCCAGCCAGGCATGGTGGCACACATCTGCAAGTCTAGCACTTGGGAGGCTGAGGTAGGAGGATCATGAGCTTGAGGCTGATCTGAGCTACATAGCTAGTTTAAGGCCAGCTCAGAATATACTGGGAGATTCTGTCTCAAAAAAACCAATCAATCAAAGAAAAGCCCACAAATGTACTAAAAGAAAACATGTTAAATGTGTTTGAAAACCTAAGGCAAGGAAGGCTTTTTTTTTTTGAGACAAGGTCTTACTATGTAGCTCAGGCTGGCTTTGAACTTACTATATAGCCTAAGCTGGCCTCAAATTCGTGGTGATCCTCCCACCTCAGCTTCCCAAATGTGTGTGCCACCATGCCCACTGGAAAGCCTTTCCTTAACACTGCACTAAGATAGAAAATACGAAGCAAGATCAACAGATTTTACTCTTGGTTCCTTTCACAGATAATTGACGCGTCACATGTATCAAGTGCAGTTTACTTATGAGAGGGCAGCTCCACTCCAACAGTAACCAGCAGAGACATAACTGCACACATTATGCTGGGCAAGTTCTAAATGATGTATTTCACCCCACTGCCATGCCAAATGTATGTGTGACCCTGTGCCACTCCTGCAGTCGCCACTCTGACTTGGGGGTGCATCTGCCTGTGGGTCTGCAGTGGGGATATGGAGGCTGAGGAGGGTGGGCGCCCACTCTTTCTTATTAGCATCCTCTTGATCTAAAGCAAAAAATGTCTCCCTCTAACAGTTTTTGAAGATGCAGACCACAGGCTGTGTGCATTACTGAGAGGGCGAGGTTCCTCCGGGGTTTTGTATTTAGGTGGGCAGAGAGTGAGACAGGAACAAGGCCAATGGCTTGTTCCGATGAAAATGACTGACAGAAACAAAGCTGGCATTCGCAGGTACAGAGACTCAGCTGTATGCAATTATTGCAAAGATAAGTAGGGCAGAAAGAAGAAAGAGATGGGGGAGGCCAGAGGGAGAAGGAGAATGTACATGGGGAAAGGTCCAGGTCCTCAGGCTGGCTAAGTACAGGGAGTCCAGGCTATTGAAGTGGGCAAAGGGGAGCACACACCTGAGCCCCACATTGTTGATATCATCCCAAATAGAGGCAGGAAGTTCCCAGAATGCCTTACTGTTGGCGTTCAGGATTGCCTGGAAGACACAGGAAGGGGAAATGATTGGATGATCTGAAGGCAGAAAGATGTAAAGGCTGGGCAGTGGAAAGGACAGTGTAGGGGGCCAGAGGTGAAGGTGAGGAGTATGGAGTTGGACCAAGTTCAAAGGATACCTGAGCCCCAGCAAAGGCATTATTGACCAGCACATCCAGACGCCCATTCTGTTCCCGAGCTACCCGCTCAAATAGGCTTCGCACTTCATTCTCCTGGCTTGAATCGCACACTACAGGCACACACTGGCCACCAAGGGATCGTGCCTGGTGAAGAACAGAGGACATGAGCTAACGGCTGCACACTAGTGTGAAATATAATGCGATTTCTCCAACAAAGTGGGCTTGGGAACTCAAGGTGATCAGAGGAATCAAAGCCAGCAGTCAACATGGCAGGCAATACCTCCCTCTGGTGTCTGTTTGAGGAATTTCAGGAAGTGACTGGGTCCTCCCAACCCACAGAATAAGGTGTATTGGGATGTCAGGTTTAAAAACCACAAACAAGCCAGGCGGGGTGGCACACGCCTGTATCCCCAGCACTAGGGAGGCTGAGGCAGGAGGATCGTTGCGAGTTCGAGACCAGCCTGGGTTACAAAGTCATCTCAAGGCCAGCTTGAATTGCATAGTGAGACCCTGTCTGAAAACAAACAAACAAACAAACAAAAATACCATGCAAACAAGGGTTAGAGATATAGCTCAGTGGTAGAGTGCTTGCCTAGCACACACAGGGCCCTGAGTTCAATCCTCAGTACCACCAAAAATAAATCAAACCAAAACTACAAACATTTAGGATATTTACATTCTTTGTTAGTATTTGGTACATGATATATCTTAAATCTTTTTCTTTCTTCACCATTCCCCCTTTCCCTTACCCTTGGACTCCTGGAACCTGTCCATTTACAAAAGGTCTATTTCTCTGTTTACTTCTATCAGTCCTTTATTTTGTTCTATATTTGTGCTTTGCCTTAATATTTAAGCTTGTGTCTGATTTAGTTGACTTAACAGTGTATTTTCCAGGTATATCCATTTTTCTACAAACGTCTACAAATTATCCATTGTAGCTGAGTATAGATACATTTTCTTTATCCATTCATCTAAAAATAAAAACAATCATGAAACTGGAGAAAGGGAATTAGGGTCAGAAGGAGGGAGGGAGGTGGGGGGGGAAGGGAATAAAAAAGAATCAACATGTGTTATGTAGATGTACTTACTCCCTAACATCAGTGCAAATGTCATGTACTGCAAACATGTACTAATAAAATAATATCTATGAACATTTACCAAGGCGTTCCATGTGCAAGCCGAGGATAAACGACAAGTCATGGAACCCACTCCTAGCAACAAGTGACTATTCTTTTTCTTGCCCTTGGTCATTTCCAACTGTCATGCCCTTAGTTCCTACCCTTTACCATTCACTTGAAACTCTGAATCCCAGCCCTCTTTTCCCTACTCTACCAGTGCTCCTGCTTGGTAACTGAAAAACAGAAGGGATCAGGTGAACGATTTCCACTTCCTGGTCTACTGCATCTTCTACAAATGTGCCCCATCCTCAAGCCTGAGAGGAAGAAGAGTACCCTACTCAAGAACAACCTCTTATTCCCCAGATCTATGCTCTATGCTCCACCTCATTTCTCTCTTACCTCAGCCACTGCAATGCCTCCTAACTGCTCCCTCAACATCTACTCTTTTTGCCTTAAATTCATTTGTCATAATCCAGTCAGTATAAACTAGCAGACACATAAATCTATTTGAAAATTTGAAATCTTCTAACTGGATCTTTTTTTTTTTTTTTTGGTGACTGAACCCGAAGGCTTTGAACATGTCAGGCAAGCACTGTAACATGAGCCACACCTGCAGCCCTTTGCCAGGGACTTTTAATCTCCAATGTTTGCTTGATGGCTTTCACCGTCTACTCCTCCCTTGCATTATCTAACAACTCCATAGACTTTCACCACTCTCCCCCGCCTCCCCTCCATGCATGCTGCAGATTGAACCCAGAGCCTCATGAGTGCTCAGAAGGGCTCTAGCACTGAGAAATATTCTCAAGCCTTCTTTATCTAACTCGTACCTCTGAAGTCCTCCAGAATATTTCCCCTAACCACTCCTTTTATTATTTCTATGCACCTCCATATATGGCTGGAGTCTGCTGTGCATATCTCCCTCTTATCACTTGTCCTGTTACATAGAAATGACTGGCTTCTGTGTCTGACTTCCTGCTGGACTCTTCAGAGCAGAAAGTATATTTTACTCATGTTGGCACGGCTAACAAATCAGAGGTACTCAAATATTTATTTTACTGAAACTCAGTAAAGAAGTCAAATAATAGTTCAGTAACGTCTTACCTAAAATAGAGAAAAAGGTCTAAAAGCCTTTAGTTGAAACTCCAAAACCCCTGCAACTTTCAAACACAAAGATTTTTCTTTTCTTATAACTCACTTGGTAGTGAAATTCAATCTTACGTGAATTTTATGCAGCTTATTTCTTCTACTCTGAGGAAATATTTATGTTTTGTTTTAGAACACTAAAATGTCTGCTAAGGGGCTGGACTCCAAAGACTGGCTCATTAGAAGAGGTCTCTCGGGTGGTCACTTACCTCCTCAGCAGCGACCCGAAGGGTGTCCTCACGGCGGCCAGTTATGTAAACCGTGGCACCTGCTTGGCAGAGCTGCAGGGCAATGCCACGGCCAATACCCCTGGAAGCACCAGTTACCACACACACTTGGCCTTTCATGAGAAGTGCCATGACTCAGGTAAAGGGGTTATCTGTGAAGCAAAGAGTAGCTTTGAAGGAAGCCTGCAGATCGCGTCTGGAGGAGGGACGCCGTTAGGCTAGCGGGGGCGGCCAAGGCCGCAATCCTTCGAGGGGAGACCAGGGTCCCTGGAGAACAACTGAGTTCGGGCTCCTCGCTAGGCAGACTGTTCCTTCTGGCAAGCCCAGGGGAAGAAGGCTTGATGGCACACGCCTGCTGCGAGCCTGGGAGTGGAGCTAACCAGGCTGGGGACTCTGGCGGGGCAGCTCCTCAGGGATCGAGCCCGGGCACGGCTTTCAGGTCAGGGGCGTCTTACCTGCAGACCGCAGAGCCTCTGGAGTCCTGCTACGTTCAGTTCTCCAGGCCTTTTTATACGGGAGTTGGAGAACTTTGATTCCGGACGACAGGCGGGACGAAGTGACTCAGTCTGGGTCAGAGTGCAGGGCAGGGGTGGAAGTACGCGTGCTGGTCAGGACGGAGCAGTCGACGTCCAGGAGAAAGACTCAAAGATAGCAGAGTAGGACAGGAGACGGTTTTGGGCAAATGCGAAGGCGCGGAGCCCTGGGCGGCGTTAGAACTTGCAAGTGATTGGCTGGCGCCCGGAAGAGTCGCCCACCGCAGCCGGCTGGGTCGTCGCGGAGCTATGACGTAATACACCGCGCCGAGACGTGCCGGCGAGACTAATCTTACCGCCGGGCGCGATCCCCGCGGCGTGAGTTCTGCAGCCGGGGTTCTCACGGACTGCGAAGTTACGAAGCTTGTATGGGGCTGAGCTCGCGCTCCCCCCACAAGGCGGGGCGCCAGTTTCCAGCTGGCAGCAAGCGGGGGCGAGGGGCCAAGGGGTCGGGGCGACCCCCAACAGGCCGCAAACGGCAGCCTCGGCCGCCTGCGGACCGGCGCGCAAAGTCGGCTGTAGATGAGCAACCGCACCTGAGCCCGCAGGCGCTGGGGTATTTCCGACGGGCGCTGACGGCGCTGAAGGAGGCCCCCGAGGCAGGGGAAGAGCGAGGTAGGGGGAACTGAGAGGGTGGGTTCGAGAGCATACAACCCCGAACAGGCAAAGAAACTTTCCAGGGTCTCCAGAGTGCGGGGGATTGGTTTTAACCCTCACGTCGTCTTTTTCGGCTCCCGCCCTCCGCTTCTGGCTAGGTGATGGAACATAACCTTATCCTCTGCCCAGGCTTTTTAAAATATTTCTTTCGCCAGCGTGGTGGCGCACTCCTCTAATCCCAGCACTCGGGAGGCTGAGGCAGGAGGATCTTTGCGAGTTTGAGACCAGCCTGGGCTACAAAGTGAGCTCAAGGCCAGCCTGAACTGCCTAGCGAAACCCTGTCTTAAAAAGACAAAAAATATATACGTATATATTTCTTTCGTTTTTTTTCCTCCAGATTTGATGGTGCGTAATATTTTGAAGGAAGTGGAAGCTCAGGCCCTAGCCTTGGCCACGAACAGGACGGGCAGTGAGCTACTGCAGGAACTTCTGGGGTTCAGTCCTTTAAAACCGCTTTGTCAAATATGGGCCGCTCTGCGCTCCAGCCTGCGTTTTGTGGCCTGTCATCGGTGTGGGGTGCATGTATTGCAAAGTGCTTTGCTGCAGTTGCCTCGATTGCTGGCGCGTCGTGCCGAAGAGGAGAGGGAGAAGGGGGAGGAAGATGGGAAGAGTGGTGCTTTGGAGGCCCTGGAGAAGCTGGTCCTGGGACTGGCCTCTGAGGTGTGTGACGATTTTCTTTTCTACTGTGGAGACACGCATGGCAGCTTCGTGGTCAGGACTCTGCTGCAGGTGTTAGGAGGGACTCTTCTGGAGTCCGAGAGAGCCAGGCCCCGTGGCTCCCAGTCATCTGGTAAGTGTAACAGGAAAGGGAAGTGCCCTGGGTGGGAAGGAGAGTTTAGGAAGTTAAGAAGAAAAGAGTAAGTCTTCACTAGGTGCCTTGACCTTGGGGAATTAACAGGGAAATGAGCTCAGAGGTCTTAAGACCAAAGATGATTGTGTGCAGAGGCCTAGAGGTATGGATGTACAAATGTGTTTAGGGGGTCAGCTATTAGTGTGGGGGCAGGAAGTGGAAGTGACTGATAGAGAGCCATAGACTTCAAACTATTTTTCTTTTAACCATAACTCACAGGAAATTTATTTTTAAACATGACTATATGTATATATATATATATATATATATATATATATATATATGTATGTATTGGACTGAAGCAAAAGTTTAGTAAATAAACCCTTAATTATATGCAACACACTCTGGTACTTTGTTTATTATTTTATTCTGTTTTTTTTTTTTTTTGGTCTTTTTGAGACGGAGTCTTGCTATGCAGTTCAGGCTGGCCTTGAGCCAGGTTGGTCTTGAACTTGCAGTGATCCTCCTGCCTCAGCCTCCCAAGTGCTGGGATTACAGGCGTGCAGCACCATATGTGGGTCTTATTCTGCTCTATTCATCAACGAAGTGCTGGTCCTGATCACAAACTTTATTTCATGATACAATCATAGGCTGTGACTTAAATTTTGAGAAACAGAGATATGGTCAAAGAGTTTAAGGCCTGATTTTGGAATACTATCCATACTTGGCTGAGGAGTTTTTTGGTTTCTATGGACCATAAGGGGACTGATTGAAGTTTCTTGAAAAATTAAAACAGAGACGTCATCAGTTCGTCATCCAGAAGAGCATTTCAGTTGTCTCATGTTTGCTCTGCAGCTCCAAGCAGAGTCCTTGTTCATCTGTGGAATTCTTCCTTGGCAGCTTGTGTCTCACCACGGCACATGTTCTTGATTCTCCTTTAGAAGCAGTAAGGGCCCCACTTCGGGAATGTAAGCCAGCCGATTTTGAGGTTCCTCAAACTTTCTTGAATTGCCTTCAGGACCTGATCTCCTGCTTTCTGAAGGACCTTGCTGGTAAGGAGGGAATTTGGAGGAGGGCCTGGAGTCCACCTTTTTAGAGGTGATTACTACCAGTCAAGGTCCTTAGAACAGATCATTCCTCCTGTCTTCGAACCTGGTTTGGCTTGATGCCGCAAAGTATTCCAGATGGATGCTTTGTGTCCACAGTCCTTTGTACCTTGTTGCTCACGGCTTTTACAGGTTGTTTAGGTTTTGGGTTTTGCACAAAATATTTAATTATTTTTGTCCTCTCCCCACAGTGTTTATCACTGACAAGATTTCCAGCTTTTGCCTTCAAGTGGCCTTACAGATCTTACACCGCAAACTGCCCCAGGTTTGTGCCCATCTCTGCAGTGCTACGATTGGCTACCTGAGTACTCGTAATTCCTCAGCAGATGGCAGGTATGGTCAGGGCCTTGGAATTGGCCAGAGTTGGTGGGGCTGTGTGAAGTGAGTGAGATGATGTGGTACAGTTGCATTTCGGATGAAGGGGAGTTACAACTGTCTGGTCCTCTCTCCCATGTCTCCAGCCCCCTACTGCTATTTCTGAGGGATCAGACAAGCTCCAGACTCCTGGAGCAGGTGCTTTTGGTGTTGGAGCCCCCGAAGCTCCAGAGCCTCTTTGAGGATCATTTCCAGGGTCAGCTGCAGACCTTGGCTGCACATCCCATTGCTAACTTCCCTTTGCAGCGCTTATTGGATGCAGTCACTACCCCTGAGCTGGTGAGTTGGAAACCTAGGTTGAGTTTTTTCCCTGCTATTCTTGCTTATTGGCTGTTATTTTATTGTCCGCCTGCCTGTGTATATCTTTGACAGTAGACTGCCCATTGCTTTTGTAAAGTTATAATTTAGGGTTTTCTAGAATTTAGAGTGGTGATGCCCTCCTCTCAGAGGGGGTTTGTTTCAGCTTCTTAGGTGCAAGTACCAGCAGGAGACTGTCTTAATTCAATTTGGCCACTTGAAGTTCCATGGCTGCCCAATACTCTGGGTTCTTAGTTGCAAATGTACATGGCACTGGGCTATTTGCGTTGCTTCTCTTTTCCTTTGTTGCTTAGCAGCAAGGTGGGCTTCCCATTGGGCTTATGGGTTGGGAGTTGGAATGGAAGGGCGGGTTATTTCTATTTGTCCCTTATACAAAGGAAGGGGCTGTTTAACATCCCCTCTTTATGTGAGGTGGCACCTCTCTGCCCCTGTCCTGGGCTTATTCAGCCAATCCAAAGTCTTGACATTGGCAAACTTTTCTGTTATATTTTACCTAGTACTTTTAGTTGTTTTCAGCAGGAAGAATTCTCTGAAAAACTTAATCCATTACTACCAGAATGCCAAAGATTGTGCATCCAATGTTTCTCCTTAGCTGTCCCCTGTGTTTGAGGAGCTGAGTCCTGCCCTGGAAGCTATCTTGGCCCAGGGCCACACAGGGGTCGTCACTGCCCTGGTGGGGGCCTGCCGCAGAGTTGGGGCTCATCAAGCCCAGGTCTTGCAGCTGTTGCTGGAGGTGAGTGTTACTTACAATTGATTTATCCCATGGTCTAAATCCTGCTGCTTCAGGATGTATCTAATTTTCAGTCATTGTATCACTGGGTCTAAGAGGTCTAATGCACAGATACAGATAAAAGAGATAAATGTATCCAAGCACCATCTCACAGCTCTAGAGTGGAAATTGTTTCCCATAGCTGAGAGAAGTTTATTTAAGGGATAAATGTTTTTCGATCCCTGTTACATGTATAGAGGCTGGGGGATACAGCAAGGCAGATAAGATCCAGCCCTCTTAAAGCTTACTTTCTTGTGGCGTTAGGCTTTCTCACTTCTGAATGTTTTCTGTGTTTAGAAAGTCAAGATTAGGAATGGGTAGCTCTCAGAGTCATCATGTTTTTTCCTCTTCCAGGCATTCCACTGTGCAAAGCCCTCTTCCCGGCAGGTGGCTTGTGTGCCTCTCTTTGCCACTTTGATGGCTTACGAAGTGTACTATGAACTCACAGAGGAGGAAGGGGTGGCGCCTGCAGAGCACCAGGTGAGTTGGGGAGAAGCTGTGCTCGTGTCTCACTGGGGCCAGGCCTCCCTGGGCTTAGGAAGCCCCTGAGTGTGGTGGAGAGATTTCTGACCTCATCCAAGTGAAGGTGGCATGACCTTGAGGATGATACCTGGTTTGGTAACTGCCTCCTAATTTCCTGTCTCCTTGCTTCCAGGCAGAAGTAGCTGCATCCAGGGCCCTAGGTGAAGTGACAGTGCTTGGTTCTCTGTTGCTTCAGCATCTACTGCACTTCTCTGCCCCTGGTCTTGTACTTCGAAGTCTGGGTGCCCTGACAGGACCACAACTTCTGACTCTGGCCCAAAGCCCTGCTGGCTCTCATGTAGTGGATGCCATCCTGACTAGCCCCTCTGTGACACGGAAGCAGCGCCGCCGTGTGCTGCAGACCCTAAAGGTTAGCGTTCTGGCTTCGGCTTGATTTCCCTGCATTATCTCTTTACAGAAAGTGAGTTTCCTCAGGCCTATACCTTCGAGTTAAGATAGCATATGTACTTCCTAGACTGTTCCGCTCAGTCTCTAAGCTTTTTTGCCTGTCAAAACACTTTTATACACTTCCCCAGAAGGACTTACCTTATTTGTGTCAATGCAGGGACAATATGTGGCTCTGGCCTGTAGTCGCCATGGCAGCCGTGTTCTAGATGCCATTTGGAATGGAGCAGCGTTGGGGGCTCGGAAGGAAATCGCTGCGGAGCTAGGTGAGCACTGTTGTGTCTCTTTGATGCTCGCAAACTTCAGAATCCCCTTCTCTTTCACCAGATAGCTGGGTGGCTTGGGAGTGGACTTACATTCAGCAGAGGCTTCAGTTCCCAAGGGTGGGCTTGGTTACTCTTCCTTAGCGGTCTGCTCCTACCTTGCCCACTGCTGACTGAACGTACAGTCTGTTCCCACCCTCCTCCTGGCTTCCCTTCTTTGGAGAGTAAGGTGTTTATCCTAGTGGCAGGCCCAGGGTTGGGGAGAATGGGAGGACACTCACCCCAAGTAGAATCTGTCTCCAAGTGTGGGTGCTGCTTACCATGATTGCTTTCCTTTGCAGGGGAGCAGAATCAGGAGCTGATAAAAGACCCTTTTGGCCACCATGTGGCTCGAAATGTGGCCCTGACTACCTTCCTGAAGCGGCGAGAAGCTTGGGAACAGCAGCAGAGTGCGGTGGCCAAGCGGAGGCGGGCGTTGCACTCAATACTTGAAGACTAAGACCTTGGGATCTGAGACTGGGCGCTGGTGGGGAGGGTGCATGGGCGTATCTGCTCCGTCCCTCTCCTGGTTAAATTGGAGGGAAAAATCTCGATAAACATTTTTATATTTTTATTGGAATTTTACTTATAGGTGAAAGTACAAGGAAATAGAAATCTCAGAGTCAGAGAGGGCAGTCATCATTGTGGGGAGCTTAGGGACAGGGGAGTTGGTAAGGATTAGCAGCACTTCAGGGTGGAATCTAGGTGCCTGGGAATAGGTGGTACCTTTCAGGGTAAATGGGAGGCTGCAGATGTGGGTAGGGCAGGATGGGACCCTTGGGAAAGAGTTCGGTTGAGGGAGTGAGGCATTGTGCTGATGGGTTCTATCACAGTGGGGTCGGAGGACAATGGGGAAATCGGATGTTGTTCAGTCAGCACTGTTACAGGTCCCGAAACTGGGTGCTGTCACAGTCCTCACAGCATGGCTCATCGGACAGGCCTGGGGGCAAAAGCTCAGACCCCCATATCAGTAGGGATGGAGGCGACCCTGACGCTGCCAGTGCTCACCCCCCTCAACCACATGCCGAAGGGTGGAGGAAATTCCCAGCAGTATATGGCCAAGGCCTTGCAGCAGCTTCGAGAGCCAATGGAGGAGCTCCCTGGAAGGTGGACACAAAAGGAAATCAGACGATTAGGGGAACCCAGAGTTCCCTGAGAGCTGTAGTTTTTCACAAGGGGGAGCTAAGTGGGGATGAATGGAGGTAGAAGATAGAATTAGGGGAACCACACAACCATAAGGAAGATGGGGTTGTATGAAATGTTGATCTCTGACCTGAGTACTTTTTTTGGACCCACTCCTTGAAAGTCACAGCTCATAGAGTAGAGCCCGTAGAATGTTGCTTTGATGTTTAGGCTGCCGAAGAGGTCTCGAGGGTTTTGCTTGTATACATCAAAGGTGATGCGGGCAATGTCCTTACTGTGCTTTGGCTTCTCTCGGCCCAGGCCGTATGACAGCATCCCACCCTGTAGGAACGCACATCAGTGCAGTGGACCCTCACGTCTTGCCCCCCTCTACTGATCCCCACCAACACGGTCAGACCATTCTAGGCTGGGTCCACAGTGTGATGTCGTTGACAGCTCCGTGGCTCTCCCACTGCCTCTGCCCCAAGGTCAGGGTTGTGCTAGGAAGACCTGTAGAGTGTTGGTGGCCTAAGCAGCTCCAGTGCGGGCCTCTTACCCTAGCAGTGCTCCAACTCTGCCCAGGCTCCAGCACCATCAGGCATGTGTCGTCCTCCAGCAGCTGGAAGAAGTCCTCACTCTCCACAGCAGTGCCATCCTCTTCCAGTACCAGCATCAGCACGCCTCTCAGCAGCAGGGCCTCCAGTGCCTGCCCGGTGGCAAGAAGCAGAGGGAAGGGGCAGATCTCATAGCATGCCCTCCCGTCCTCAGCTGCCCAACATCCACTGGTCAGCTGTACACACTGGCTGATATGTCAGCTGTCCGTCCTGGTGCTTTGCTGTCCTTGCTTAAGGCACCATCTGTCAGTGTCTTAGTTGTTGGGGAACTCTTACTAGGTGTGACTGTGTGTGTGTGTGTGTGTGTGTGTGTGTGTGTGTGTCTTACGGTGCTGGGGTTGAATCTAGGGCCTTGCATCTGGTAGGCAAACACTGCCATTGATCTGTACTGCCAACTTTTCCACATCATTGTTCCCTTTCCCTGTTCTCCTATAAGCCACTCCTACTGGTTTGGAATTAAAAATTTAGCAAGGAGTTGGGCATGATGGTGCATGTCTGTAGTCTCAGCTACTTAAAAAGCTGAGGCGAGAGGATCAGAGGTGCTCAAGACCAGACTAGGTGCCACAGCAAGGTCTCAAGTTTAAAGAAAGAAGGAAGCTGGCTGGCTTATTTTGAAATCCATACTCCGTCTTGCCTACGATGGTCCACCTCACTTCCTCTACCTACAGTGTTCTCCATTGGTGCCAGTTAACTTGTACACTCACCAGGTGCCAGGTGTCTATAGGGCTTTTACATACCTGTCTTACCCATTCCACAGGAAGCAGCAAAATCCGGATTTGAATTTGGCTTTTCATACAAATTACTATTCCTGACTTCTGAATTCCATCCCTTGACCTCTCCCTATCTACTACTTCCTCCTACTCCCAAAGAAAAGCCCATGGTAGTGGTACCTTGGTACTTGTCATTAGTTGGTTCTGGGAGGTACAAAGAGTACCAAAGATGACAAGTACCAAACAAATTATTTTGGCTGAAGAAAGTATCCAGTCATGAGGCAATCAGCATGAATCCACATGCACAGCAGGTACCACACAATAAATCTAGGACAAAATATGTGAAAATGCACTGAGTACCATTATTTGGTGAGTTTCAAAGTACCAAGCTTGCATACCAAGCTATGACTGTACTTGGAAAAATCAGTGAATTCACCTTCACACAAGAGATCACTGGGTTAACTCGCTTGCTCTTAGCCCTTGGAGGGGCAGCTATGTGACCTCAGCCCTTTCTGCACCATCTTTCCAAGTTGTCACTTCTTGGGCCACTTGGCTGTCCCTGCTAGGGGAACCCAGGAACCTGACTTACCTTATCTAGCAGTTCTTGGCGGGTGGCAGCTGTCAGGCCTTTCCGGGTTGTTCGCTTGTGATCACAGACACGGAAAGGTCGCTGAGGTGGTGGAGCTGAGGTCCAGACTCTACGGCCAAACTCGGAGCTCATGCTGGATACTGATCTGGTAGTTGGGAAGGGAGGAAGGAAGAGGGGCTCTGAGTGTAGTGAGGTGGTAGGGGTGGGGTGGCTGGAGGGTTTGGGGAGACCAGTCTAGGTTTGTGAATTAGCCAAAGAGGTGAAGACCATGCAGTGGGGTTAGGGACTAGACTAACCTGTGTAGGGAGCAGGACGGGAAATGGGTCTCCTCGGGGCTGAAAGGTTTGTTGCTCTGCCTGCTCCATCCCCAGTGTTGGAGGGTGGAGAGAAGGGCTAGGGATTACCTGAGTAGGCCTTTGGGGTTCAAGGACGGGAGGTAATCCATGGTAGAGGGAAGCAATAGAGAGTTTCCTCTCCGTGACTTCTGCTGCGCTGGGCCTGAAGTGTTGTTTTCTGTTGCAAAGCTGGAATCTCAGCCTTGGTGAGGTGGGAGATGAATCAAACCCGGACTCTGGCCCCCCTTCCTGGCCAGCAAGAAGGACAAAGTCCAAGGGGAGGGAAGGAGGAGGGGCCTAGACCGAGTAATGGTAGTGGGGTTGCCTGCAGAAGCCACCTAAGGATGGGGGTGGGGAGTTAAGACATTGTGAGGGTAAACAGGAGCTGTGGGAAAGGATTAGAATGTGGCCTCTGGTGTTTTTATTTCTGTGGAGGGAACTCTCTCGGTTTTCTTTTTTGGAGGGAGTTTTTAGAATCTGTTTCTGGCTCTCAGCCTCCCAGAAGCTGCCTTGTAGGTGATCTGGACTGTTCGTGTCGCCACCTACTGGAAAAGCCATAAACTGCAGCTTTCGGGAAAGGTGTCCTGGCTGAGGAAGCTGCTTGGCGTGGGAAATACGGCAGCGGGTTGGGCAAGGCCTGGAGAAGGTGAGCTGCGAGGCAGTGTGTCTGGGAGTGGCGTGAGGAGAGGATGGATCCTCATACGTGGATCTGCCTTGGACTGTGGCCTTCCTGCTTACCTGTTCTTTCCTCCTCGGTTGGAGAGGGTCTGGCTCAACATTTCTCTGGTCTCATTTGCCAGAACTTTCTGCTCAGTGATGCTGAAGTAGTTACCTTTTCTCTTACTCTCTTTCCTTCTGCTAATAAATGAACATGAGAAATGTGAGTGGGACAGGAGGTCTCCTTTGAAGGCCTCAGAACTTCAGTTTTTGGCACTCTGCATCCCATCTCTGACCAGTTGCAGCAGTGAAGCTCAGAATCACAGTGCACGCCTCAGATGAGCACCGTCTCTGCTTCCCTGCCCAGGAGGCTTATAGAGCTTCCCTGTCTTGATTTCTGCATCCTGAACAAGAAACTCAGAAAGCCTTGACCGCCGTGTGACCCAGGCAGCTGCGTTTCTCATGCAGGCTTGAACCCAGCTGGGGCCTTGAGCACTCCCGACTTCGATAAAGGTGTTCCTGTTGTTGGCCAAGGCACTGAAAGAAACTGGCCCCAGCCCTGAGCCAGATTTCTTGCACCCTCACAAAAACTGGCCGGGGGCAGGGAGAACACATCTTCCTCTCCCCGTGTGTCACGAGGATATGGTGCTGCCTACGATGGAAGCAGGGAAATACTCTGGAAAGCGCTTTTTCCTCCAGAATCCCAACTGATCCCATCTTGGGATGTTTGGGACACTCCCTTGAGGGAGCTTTCCTGCACCACTGGGAAGCACAGCAGTCACGAGTTTGGCCCAGGTGGAAGAAGCTATGGAGGAAGCTGTTGCAGCTTACTCAAACCCTTAAAGTACAAGGATGGAGTGTAGGGCTGCCAGTGCCCCAGGAGCAGTCCTCCGACAATGGGCATTCTGCACACATCTCAGAGCTTTCCCGTGCCTACGTGTGGGACACACTGGCACTCTTCTTGGCTTTCCTCTTTCCAACTTACCCTGTCCTTCTACGCCTCTTCCTGAGTGGATTCCCCCAGGCACAGGAGTACTTATACCTTTACTTCAGGCTCTGCTTTAGAGGAACACAAACTAGGTAGTGCTGGTGTTCTTGTTCCCAAGAAATCTCAGTTCTGGCTGTTGACTGGCCAGGGGCCTTTCTTTTCCTTTTGCCACTCTACCTTCCAGGTCTCTTTCAAGTATCTTCATGTCCAAGCTTTGTCTGACTTCTCCAAGAAGAGAAGCATGCACCCTTTCCTGTCTTCTTTACCCTGGTGTAGCCTTGTCATGTCGTCTTCCCATGGTTGTTATGACTCCCCAACAAAGTCAAGAGCTCCTTATAACTCTGCACTCCTTGTTTTCCCCAGGGCTTGGCACCTTGCCTTAAAAGCTGTTGGGCTAGGAATATAGCTCGGTGGCACAGTGCCTGCATGGCAAGCATGAGGTCCTGAGTTTGAATTCTGGTACCAAAAAAAAAAAAAAAAAAGGTGTCACTGACGACCTAGTGAGAGCCTGGAGAATGGAGGGTGGAGGGCAGGGCCCAGAGCAAGAAGTGGGAGAGGGCGTTCTGGGAACACAGGAAGCAAAGGGGTCAGCAGAGCCGGGAAGCTGAAGACAGGCACAGAAAGAGCAGCTGGAAGAGTGAGTGAATTGTTTGGGTCAGCTTCTGTGCCGGGTACTGGCCAGGCAGGCCAGAGAACACAAGTGCTGCAGAAGGTGGACCGGGAGGACTAGGGCAGAGAGGGAAGGGTGACAGGAGCTGAAGCAAGGCCTAGAGTCAGGCTTCAGCAGGATGCTCCTCCTCCCCTTCATTTCCAGGGCACCTTGTCTGCACCCCTCCAGCTTTACCCTGTTTGCTAGGGAAGCAGGTTTCCACAGGCCTGGGCCTGCTAGTGATGGGAAGGAGTCGCCTGAGGGAGGGGCTCCTGGAGAGGGCCAGGGTGAGCCCCATCTTGTCCCTCCCTCTTCTCACTTCACCCTGTGATAGTCACAGAAGCAGCAGCCTCACCCACTGCTGCTCCAGCTTTCAGCGTGCCCGGGCCTCTTGCAGGCCGCAGCCCTGCCTGCTCCAGATGAGTAAGTAGATCTTTCTGCCTGTGCCCCTTTAAATCCGCTGCCCACTTCTGCCCTGAGGTATAAGGAACGGGCTGGCCCAAGCAGAAGGGGCCAGGCCCGAGGGGTGGAGGTGGGCACCACGAGACCCTGGCATGAGGACTGTGGGCCTGGGTACCGCTGGGGCTCTGGGAAGGTGCCAGGAGGGTAGGAGGTCAGCTGGCTGGGAGCAGGTGATCTGAGTTCTAAGGAGTCAAATTGGTTAAATTGGGGTTTAGGGTCCTTGAAGAACTAAAGGTGCTGGGCGTGGTGGTGCACACCTGTAATCCCAGCACTCGGGAGGCTGAGGCAGGAGGATCACTGTGAGTTCAAGACCAGCCTGGGCTATAAAGTGAGCTCAAGGCCAGCCTGAACTGCATAGCGAGACCCTGTCTCAAAAAAAATAAAAAAATAAAAAAAAACAAAGTAAAGGCTCCTGGAGAGAGGGGGACAGGTTACAGGGCAGTGGAGGGAGGTGCTGGGAGCAGCCCAGTCCCTTCTCACCCAGCACTGTTGGTACACGGCCTCGGCCCCACCCCTCAATGCGCTCTGTGGCCCTTTGTAGCCCCTGTAGGAGATGAAGAATGACCGTCTGCTACAGTCCCCCTGGGAACGAGACGCTGCTGAGCTGGAAGGCCTCGCGGGCCACAGGCTCTGCCTTTCTGCTGCTGGCCGCGCTGCTAGGACTGCCCGGAAATGGCTTCGTGGTGTGGAGCTTGGCGGGCTGGCGGCCCGCACGGGGACGGCCGCTGGCGGCCACGCTTGTGCTGCACCTGGCGCTGGCTGACGGCGCGGTGCTGCTGCTCACGCCGCTATTCGTGGTCTTCCTGGTCCGGCAGACCTGGCCGCTGGGCCAGGCGGGCTGCAAGGCGGTGTACTACGTGTGCGCGCTCAGCATGTACGCCAGCGTGCTGCTCACCAGCCTGCTCAGCCTGCAGCGCTGCCTCGCCGTCACCCGCCCCTTCCTGGCACCCCGGCTGCGCAGCCCGGCCCTGGCCCGCTGCCTGCTGCTGGCAGTATGGCTGGCCGCGCTGCTGCTCGCGGTCCCCGCCGCCGTCTACCGCCACCTCTGGGGCGGCCGCGTGTGCCAGCTGTGCCACCCATCGCCCGCCCACGCCGCTGCGCACCTGAGCCTGGAGACTCTGACTGCCTTCGTGCTTCCTTTTGGGCTGATGCTGGTCTGCTACAGCGTGACTCTGGCGCGGCTGTGGGGAGCCCGCTGGGGCTCCGGGCGGCAAGGTGCGCGGGTGGGCCGGCTGGTGAGCGCCATTGTGCTGTCCTTTGGCTTGCTCTGGGCCCCCTACCACACGGTCAACCTTCTGCAAGCCCTGGCCGCGCTCTCCCCGCCTGAAGGGGCCTTGGCAAGGCTGGGTGGGGCCGGACAGGCAGCGCGGGCTGGAACCACGGCCTTGGCCTTCTTCAGCTCCAGCGTCAACCCGGTGCTCTACGTCTTCACCGCTGGGGACCTGCTGCCTCGGGCTGGTCCTCGTTTCCTCACGCGGCTCTTCGAGGGCTCCTGGGAAGCCCGAGGGGCCAGCCGCTCTAGGGAGGGTACCATGGAGCTCCGAACTACTCCTCGGCTGAAAGTGGTGGGGCAGGTTGGAGGCAATGGAGACCCCGGGGGCGGGCTGAAGAGGGGCAGTCAAGAGTGGGATCCTTGACGCTAAACCCTGCACCGGGCCTGCTCTGCCCTGAAACTTTCCATCCCCCCTGGAATTCACCACTCTGGGGCATTTGGGAATCCTTCTCTGAATACAGTTTGGATTTGGCTGAGCAGGATCATGACACACTTGGGACAGGCCCAGAGTCCTCCAAACTGAGGGATTGTGAGGGTGGATACCCCATGTTAAAAATATCGTGTTCTTGGAGGTTGGCGTGTACCCATGTGCTGGCTGGCATTGCTCATCTGTTTCCAGTAGCTCTTGTGAAATACACGGGAAGCCATCAGATGATGGCTTAAATGTGCTTCCTTTAGTGGTTCATCATGCTTGAAGCCAGCTGCTTCCCAGCTGGGCCATCCCAGGGTGGGACAGTGCAGCCAGCCTTCAGTGGCATTGTGGCCTGTCTTCCCCAGCCTGGGTGGCCTGGTTCCCCTAGATGCATCCATGGAACCACTCTGGAAATAAAGGGAGAAAGAGGAAGGAAAGGTATGGGAGTTTGATGGAGATAGGATGAGATCCATTCTTTGGGGTTTGTAAGAACTGCGTGGGGAAAAAAACTGGTCTGAAAGGGGAAGGTAAATCAATGGGTTTGAAAAGAAGTGTTCCTGCCTGTCTTGTGGTTGGTGCAGTGGGAGAGAGGCACACAAGGAGTGGACGGTGGAGTGGGGGTCTGAGGTCAAAGCCTCACTGACCACTGACTACCCCACTCCTGGGCAAACTTTAAAAAGGTGCCTAGGAGCCAGCCCTTGCTCAGCCTGGGGAAGTTTGGGGATTGGGAATGAGGAGGGGGCACAGTGAATGGCCAGAGTATTTGGAAAACAGGAATAATTTCTCAGGAGGTACCCTTCTTTCTCTTTTTTCTCTGCTAAGTCTTGCTTTCTCCCAAGACTGCTTGCTATTCCTAGCCCCTTCTCCAGTACTTCCTAGTCTCCACTTTTTGGAACCTCTCTCCTGTGCTAGGTCTAAAAACTGTTCTGGATCTTGACACTTCCCAAAATAATATATTTTGGGAATATATTATGAGAATCTTTTCAGGGGGCGTTCACAGGCACACACATAACCAAGGCATCCCATTTAGTCCACAATTTTCTCAGTTGTAGCTCTGAAAAACCCTGTCAGTCCTTCAGTAATCTGAGCTAGCTGGTCACCTGGGTGGTTATTCTGGCCATTGCCCCAGGCTCTGCTTTAGTGACTGCTCAACTGACTGTTCATCATCTCCAGGCAGAGGTGAAGAGAGCAAAGGAAATCTAGGACTCAAGGTCATGCCAGGGTCACCCAAACCGAGGTTGGGGGCTCTGAACCAGGGCATCAGGGAGTATCTTTAGAGTACCTCTTCCTGATGGGGTAAGAAAGGCCTTTTAGAGAAATGAGGTGGGGAACAGCTTCAGAGAGGAGGCAAAATCAGCCAATTTCTGAAGGGGCTTCTGGTTCACCATGGCACTCTTACCTGGAAGCTTCTATCCCTAAACAAAGGTTTCTTTTTGTCCTGGTGCTTGAGGCAAAGGTTCAGTAGCTTCCTCTGTCACATATTCCCCAGCTTACATACCCCTTGTGGTCAGAAAGTCCTTCCTCAACCCACCCTCAGTTCTTGCTGCGGTTTCAGCCCATTTCTTTTCATCATATCCTCTGCCTGACAGTTACTGGGTCAAATCTGCTCTGGCTTTTCTCAGTGCAGGGCAAGTGGGGGAGCTGAAAAATGTAAGGGACTTCAGTGGCCATCATTATATCCTGCATCTTTCCTGTGAAGTGGCAGGGTTGAAAGCGAAGCAGGAGGGCTTATGGTAGACAGAGGAAGGGATTCTTAGTGCTTAGCTTCCTCAGGAGACTTCAAGGAAGAAAGACAACTTTCCATACAGGGAGGGAGAGGAGTGACACATTGGAGGCTGCTTTCTTTCCACACTCCTGGATTCTTAATATGAGGCATCACTACCCCTGTGCCCTTGCTTCTCAGGCTCAGCTCAGCCTCTACTTCCTTTGCCTGTCAAAGGTCGAACTGGACCACCTAAGGCTGGGGAACGTAGGTGCTGATCTCCTTGCCCAGCACTCGGTGCCTAAATCTAAACTCAGCAGGGTGACCACATGGGCAAGCACAGGGTGAGGCGATGCGAGAAGGGGCAGACATTAGCACCCTGTGGGATACTACAGCCACTTAGACATTGGCTTCTACCAAAGAGAGCGGAGAACTTGTTGCTCTGGAGTAGAATCAATCCTTTTAAGTATGGGGGGAGTGGAGTTGCAAGGAGATGCCCTCCTCCCCCACAGCCCTGATCGTGGTTTGAACTGAAGCCAAGAATAAAGTGCTGTCCCTTTTGGTTTACTGACATGCTCTCTTTAAATCATGATGTTATCGAGCCCTATACCCAGGCCCAGAACCTAATCATGGCTTCAATTTACACTTCCCATTAATCTAAAGATCTATAGTATACACACATTTTATGTGAAATATAAAGGAAAATTAGTCTTGGATACCAGTATTCTAGCCTCTCATTTTATGCCCTCCAGTTTTTTCCCTCCTCCTCCTATGATACAACTCAGTACTTTGTTCATTTTGCCAGTCTAGACCTGTATCTTGAGACCACACCCCAGCCAACTCACTCTCCACACCCCTTTCCTCTCATTGCCCCTTCCAGGGCTCTTCTCATTTGGCCCCACCTGGCTGGGCTGCCTGGAACAGAAAGACTATCCCCTCCTAGTGAAGGGAGGAGTGGGGGGTTCAGCTCCACCCGCAGGAAGATGCAACTTCCCCCTCCCCTGCTCTGTGGAACTTCCTCTCTGGCCAACTTAGCTGACAGCACCCAGACCCAGGGCCAATCCCCTGGCACTGAGACAGATCGAGTGATCTGCTGTACCACCTAGCCCTGACCTTGGGATTGCCACCAGCTTCCAACCGGTGTCTGGCAAAACTTGTATGTAAGTACCCTAGGAGTGGGGATGGTAGTGGTGGGGGACCAGGCACAGCTGTGAAAGGAGGTGCTGAGGAATCTCCAAAGAAAACATGACCACTATAAAAGGAATTGGGAGGATTTGCCCTCAAAGCCGTCCAGTCACTTTTCCCAACCCTTTTGTTCCTGGTCTACCCTGGTGTCCTTGAGGAGAGTGGGTAGGTGATTGGAAGAAGTCGGTGGGACTGAGGGGCTAAAGGCTGGGCCAGGGGCAGAGGAGTGAACCTTTCAGAGGGTGTACCTTTGGTGAGGAAAGTCTCCCAGTTTGATTCTGGATTTGGGGGCCCTTATCTATTTGGGGAAAGATCTGGAAACGGTGTTGTTATTGTTGCTGCTGCTACTGCTTCTGTTGTGCTGCTGCTGGATATTTTGCAATTAGGTCTGTGGGCAGGAAGGGGCCCCACAGCCCAGTAAGGAAACTATCTTTGTACTCAGCTAGATCCCCCTTTCCCCTGCCCCCCTACTGGGGATTGAGCCAGGGTCTTCGCATTGAATAACATCCCCAGCCCTTTTTCATTTCTTATTTTGAGACAGGGTCTCACTAAGTTAGTTACCTGGGCTGGGCATTAACTTGCAATCCTCTCTGCATCTCTGCCTCCCAGAGTGCTGGCATTACAGGTGTGTGCCACCGTGCCAGGCCCAGGTTGCCTGAAGACAGGTCAGTTGACTTGTGGTGGTTGTAACATATTTTGGAGAGGACTCTGATGCTTCTGAGCTTGGAGACAAGTCAGAGTAGTCAGGCTAGGTGTGCCCTGGGCTTTGGCTTCTACCCTCATACATGTATCCACCCTCACTCTCCAGGTCCTTGTGATGGACACGAACACTACAACTCGTGCAGCCCCCTCCTCAGGAGGTGACACTTTCATACATCTGTTGGCTATGATCCTGTTGTCTGTGTCGCTGGCTCTGGGGCTTCCTGGCAACACCTTTGTGGTGTGGAGCATCCTGAAAAGGATGCGGAAGCGATCAGTCACTGCCCTGATGGTGCTGAACCTGGCCCTGGCTGACTTGGCCGTGCTGCTCACCGCTCCCTTTTTCCTACACTACCTGGCCCGGCGCACCTGGAGTTTTAAACTGGCTGGCTGCCGCCTGTGCCACTATATCTGTGGAGTCAGCATGTACGCCAGTGTCCTGCTCATCACAGCCATGAGTCTGGATCGCTCCCTGGCGGTGGCCAGTCCCTTTCTGTCCCAGAAGGTGCGCACCAAGGCGGCTGCTCGGTGGCTGCTGGCAGGCATCTGGGTGGCATCCTGCCTGCTGGCCACGCCAGTCCTCGCGTTCCGCACGGTGAAGGAGTTGAAGGAGGTGGTGGTGTGCATCACAGCGTACCCGAGCGACAGGCACAGGGCCTTTCATCTGTTCTTCGAGGCCTTCACGGGATTCGTGGTGCCCTTCCTGGTGGTGGTGGGCAGCTACTCCGACATCAGCAGACGGCTGCGGCTGCGGCGCTTCCGTCGCAGCCGCCGCACCGGCCGCCTAGTGGCGCTCATCATCCTGGCCTTCGCGGCTTTCTGGCTGCCCTACCACGTGGTGGACCTGGTCGAGGGGAGCCGCGCTCTGGCCGGGACGCTGGCCCAGTCCGAGAGGCAGCTGTTCAGAGCCCGCTCCGTGTGCATCGCACTGGCCTTCCTGAGCAGCAGCGTGAACCCACTCCTGTACGCGTGCGCAGGCGGCAGCCTGCTGCGCTCGGCCGGCGTGGGCTTCGTGGCCAAGCTGCTGGAGGCCACCGGCTCCGAGGCGTTCAGCACCCGCCGCGGGGGCACCCTGGCTCAGACTGTGAAGGGCGCCCCCACGGCTCCAGAGACTGGCACCGGTGAAAGCCTGGACGCTCTCAAGCAAAGCGAATCAGACTAGACCTGGTACGAGGACACTCAATTTCCTCCTAGCGGAGCACCCCACACTTTCTAACCTAATTCAGTTCTGTACTGGGAGGAGAACGGGCGTGGGCAGCGGAGTGGAGAAGAAGGAGGAGGAGTGGGGCAAATGAGGGCAGAGAGAGAGAAAGAGAGAGAGAGAGAGAGACAGAGACAGAGAGAGACAGAGACAGAGACAGGGGTACAGAGGGAGAGGGACAGAGAGAGACAGAGACAGAGAGACAGACACAGAGAGAGACAGAGGGAGGGGGACAGAGAGAGAGAGACAGAGAAACAGACGCAGAGAGAGGGGGACAGAGACAGAGACAGAGAGACAGAGAGAAACATAAAGAGAGGGGGAGAGAGAGAGAGAAAGAGAATGAGAGAATATGAATTAATATGTTACTTCAGGCAGCTTTTTCAATTAAAACCAAAGTGCAAAATTGGTCAACTCTGAGTGGGGTGTGTATGTTGCAGCATTACCCTGGGGGATGGGTTGAGAGGGATGGCCTTTAGTTTTCTATGATGCACAATTTTTAAAAGATCACAAAAGTTGACACAGACCCCCACCCCCACCCCCACCCCAGGTGACTTGGAGGTAGGTGATCTCTGCAGATTCCACTCAGAAAAGGTCTACAGGCTTTTATAGGCATCTCCAGTTGTCAAGGAAGACCATGCATGTGGGCTCATTACTCCTCACTCAAGTCCCAGGAGACCTGAGAAGACAGCTCTACTGTAAATCATCTTCCCTGAAACCTGCAGTATGTACCCCTGTTAGATGACTCCAGCTTCCTGCCTGTAATTTGCACTGTGTCAGCAGCAGATATTCTAGGGCAGTGACGGTGAACCACTTAGAGCTTTCAATGATACTAACAGCCCGCTGTGGCACTTGTGCCATGGATCTGGCACCACTGCTCTAGGGGATTTCCTTTCTCCACTCCATCTCCCACGGAGGCCTCACAGAAGACCCAAGTCATCGGATCTTATCTCCTAGAACTGTGCACATAAGCATCTGTCAGCCCTCACCACACACGCTGGCACAGGGTGGGGGCAAGGGCCCTTGTGGCCAGGGTAACCCCCAGGAAACAAAGATTCCTGAAAGTGAGAAGGATGAGTCATTCACTCCTAGGTGTGTCTTGTCTCAGAGAACCCTAGTCCAGCTTTGCTTTGACGTTTTAGGAAGATGGCAGCAGCAGTGGCAGTAAAGTACTGTTTGGATCTTTTCCATAAAAACAAGAAAAGAAACAGAAACTAGGACAGCAAAAACCAAAAGTCCTTGTGTAACATTTACAACAAACCTAGCATATCAAGACATTGCCCATGGACCCCAAACAGTAGCTGAGAATGAAGGTCAGTGTTTCAAGACCCATATACTATATCACCATCTGCACAAGAGGAGCAGAAGCAGGGCAGGCCCTCCGATGGGCATCAGAACAAGAAAGCCCCCAAGTTCTCTACAAGTCTTTACTAGAAAGCCTAGTGGGCCAATCCAAGAACAACAGTAGAACCATGGTTTATTTCCCAGGCCACTCACTCATTCTCTATAGCAGGTACATAATAAGTAGTTATTTAGTGTTTGAATGAGTAAAAGTCAAATGACATTTCTGGAGATTTCTTCCAGTATTTCTGGTTAGGTTATAGAGAGCCCTTCCTGGTCCTCATCACAGCGTAGGAAGTTTATATTTGTGATCCCATGAAAAGTTACTGGAATTCTAGGGAGTTAATGCCAGTCTACCACTTCCAGTGCAACCCACAGCAAGAATAAAGACACTAAGGCATATCTGTAGTTATGGGGAGCCAAGGGGTCCTAAGTTCAGCCACAGTGATGGCCATCTGGAACAAAGGCCCTGACCCAAGGCTGAACCAGAGTTTAATTAATAATTAAATTTATTAATTAATTCAAGGAGAGGAGTGGCTTGAGGATGACTGACTGTGAGAATGGCAGGAAGTATGTGAGTGCTGTGAGCTGGGCTAGGTAGGAGGCCCGAAATCACCCCTGCAATATGCAGAGAGAAGGATGTGCAGAAAGAGTAATCTGCATCACACAACTGAGATAGTATCTAATGTTTTGGGGTCAGTGCTTCAGCTCTGATGTGTAATCTTTCAAGCCCCAGGAAGTCATAGCCTCTATCTCGAGGCTCAGTCCCAGCCGACAGCATGGAGCATTGGCCCTACATCCCTCCTCGTCCCAGCTCACACAAGGGAACAATTGTGGGTCTGGGGAAACATGCCTGTACCCTGGCAGGACTGATATAGATTGCTTAAAGCCAATTGGAGGGATAAGGAAAAGTCCTAGACAGTTCTGTACATATCAATACATGGAAATAGGGTCAGGTTCAGCCAAAATGGAGACAATTGCTCCTCCTTTAGGGAAAGTTACCCAGGTGGTCCTCTACACAAGGTGACAGCAAAGGACGTAATCCTTGTTTTGAGTTATGGCTAAAATTCTGTATGATTCTATGATGTGCAACATACTAGAATCAAGTTAAGAGGTAGATAGGGAGGCTTAAGAAGTCTTCTTCTAAGCTTGTGAAAAGAATCGCTTCCAACACACTCAAGTGCACGCATGCACACATGCACACACATGTACACATTCAGTTTGACCTGGGAAGAAACCATCCTGTTGAGGGGTAAGGAGATGGTGATTCCCAGCTACATTGGCAGCTTCTGACTTAGCTCCAGACATCCCAGAGGATCTTAGGAGGGGTAGGAATCTCAGCTTAGAGTGGCTGAGGGAGGTCCGGTTCGTGTTAAGTCTGTGTTCAGGAAGTAGGTGCAGAGCTGTCCTTTGCCTTTAACCTTGATGACACCTCGACTGTAGCACGTATAGCCCAGGGACTGCAGGGCTTGGGCTGTTTCCTCAGTTACCTGCAATTGGAAGGTTGTAAGGCTGATGGCGATAGCCCTATCCTTGTCCCCTTCCCCCATTCCTCCAGTGTATCTCCCTCACCTGGATCTTGCCAAGGACTCCTGTGCTCTCCATGCGACTGGCTACATTCACTGTGTTGCCCCAGATATCATACTGTGGCTTCTGAGCCCCGATCACTCCGGCCACCACTGGTCCGTGGTTCAACCCTGACAAAGGATGTGATGAGGAGAAGCCCTTACAAGAGGAACTTTGAAGAGGAAGTGAGGAAGAGGAAGTGAGATGAACTGGAGAGAAGGAAGGGTCAAGGGAGCCTTAAACGAGAAGGATCCCTGGAGTGGAGGAATGTGGCTTAGGGAAGGGAAGGAATGAACCTCTTAGCTCTCGGCCCAGCAGTTTCATGCCTCATCCAAATGAGTAAGTATGGAGAGCGGGGTGCAGGGGTAATCTGGAGAGCAGCTTACAAGGGACTTGGAGTGGGGAAACTGAGAAGATGAGATATCACATTGCCTTCGTGGGAGGGGGACTCACCCACACGCAGTCGGAAGTTGTTGAATGAGTGCTTGTTGATGACATCCAGCTTAGACCCCAGGGCCACTGCAAATTCCACCATGGTGCCAAGGTGGCTGCAGCTTCGCTCAGCATCCTGGTAAAGGGCCCGCCGCCAGGATGGGCCAATGAGGGCACGAGAATAAGTCCTACTTGTGAGCCCACCAATGAGAGCATGGGGACGAATCGTAAGGAAGGAAGGGTATTGTACCTGTTGCGCATCTTGTCCAGAGGTGGCATTTAAACCTGTGGCTGCCATGTAGGTACTGCCAATGGTTTTGATCTTCTCTACTCCACTGAACTTGGGCTTGGAGAGAAGCTGTACAGAGAGCAGGCTTTGTTCCCAGTCTCTCTCGCTCGATTCCCTTTCCCTCACCCAGAAGCTCAGCCCAAGGCCTTAGGAGGCTAAAGGACAAGGCTCCAGGGTTGAAGCTGGCAGTAGGAAGGAGAGAGTTGGCAGTGGGTGGTGTTGTTGGAGAGAATAGAGCTGGGGCATTGGAGAAGCAGAGGGAATGAGGGGGTGGTGGTGGATAGGAATGGCTTCATGGACAGGACAGCAAAGTGGAAAGAGGGACTGGTGGGAAACTCTAGAGCCCAGGACGTAGGGTCTGGGATACCCTTGGAGTTGTCACCTCATCAAAATCAGCAATTATCTCATTGAGCAGTCGCAGACACTCTAGCCCCTCATGGTTGATGTTGGATTCAGAATAAAACTCCTTAAAGTCTGGGACTGAGGCGAAGAGCACACAAACACACTCATAGGACTGGTGGTAGAGGTCCTAGGGGAGGGAGAGACAGGAGGAGGGGCGTATGTCATGTGTTCCACATTTCAGAGGCCTTCCTCCTGTACCCACATTCCTAGTTTCTTTGTTCAAGAAGGCTAGAAAGGAGGAAGAGAGGTAGGACCTGGTTACCCGCAGGATGTGATTCAGGAGTCTAAAATTTTGTGTCATTGTGACTCTGAGGACAGAGATTTGGGGTCAGGATCACCTCACAGCTAAATGAAGGGACTCACTCCTGGAGTTGGGATCCTATCAGTGGGAATTAGTTTTAAATCCTCTCACTGTTGAAATGTGTCATATCACATCAGTTTGTAAAGACAGGAATAACAAATAAAGCAACAATAGGGAGTAAGTACAAGACAAAGGGAAAATAAGGATAACAGGATAAAGTAGAATCAGATCTGAGGGTGCTCACACAACGGGTGCCACAAAGTCCTTGCTAGTCCTGGATTCTGGATGTAAGTTTTCTAACAGCCAATATGAAAAGAGAAACAGGATCAGTTACAAGAGAAGAAACTAGAAGTAGAGCTACTTTTGATCTTGAGAGCTGGGAAGAGGCAAGAGCATCATAAGGCTGTGAAATAGCTCCTGAACTCCTTCTTTTAATACCTCCTAGTCTAAGACAAAAGCATTTCCACAGTACACAGAGCCAAGTAGTGGTGGTATAAAAAGATGGTGCAACAATGTGGCAAGTATCTGTGGGTGACTTTTTACGGGTGATTCACTATAGCCAGACTTTTGAGGCTCTAGAGTAGCATCATCCAATAGAAATTTCTGCAATGGTGGAAACATTCTATGTAGATGTACTGCCAGATACTGTGGCTACTAGTCACATTTGTCTGTGCACGTGAAATGTAGCTAGCACTGGGGATTGGACCCAGGGCCTTCACCCTGAGATACATCCCCAGCCTTTTTTATATTTTATTTTGAAACAGGGTCTCACAAGGTTTCTAAGTTGTCCAGGCTGGGCTCCAACTTGC